AGATATAAATTTACTTATGTAAAAAAGTCTGGTAGTCTTGATGGGTCCTTAAGACAGCTCGTCTATCAATTGGCTGCAATGGCTGAAAAAGGCTGTGTATTTAAAAGAAAGAAAATGCTGAGGAATTTAAGAAATTTTAACACATTTTTCATATACAAAGTAAAGATTGGGCTAAGTCTGAAAAGTCAAATATAATAGCTTTGAGCTAAAGCGGTAGAGTTTAGAGGCAAGAAAGGAATGTACATTTAAAAAAAAAATAGGGTATACAAAAGGAAAAAAAAGAGAGATAGGTTATTTAGAATACAAAGGTAAATAAAATAATGAAATTTAATCGAAATAGGTGATGACATTTAGTATTTAGTTTAGTAGCTGCTGAGCCTATTACTACAACAACTATTCATTGTTTACCGTATCTAATCTGGGTTTAAGATAAATTATATCAGTAAGGGCATTATTTAATTTCCAATTATATAATTCACTGTTGTGAAGTTTGATAATTATTACAATTACAACATATATTTAAATAATTCAAGTTGATATATCATATAGTTTTGACATGGTTATCACGGATGTAAATTTTATTATTTTACAAAATGAAATTTCATAAATATTTATAAATTTGTTTTCATTCATGAAATAAAAACGAGTTTAATAATAAAAATGAACTGGATTGCTTTTAAAAACAATAGATTTATAAAGATTTGTAAATACTTCTTATGCAATAAGAATAATAATAACAGAGAATGGTTATCACTTCCGGTGCATTTGGCCTTATCGATAACTGGTCAGGAGCTATTGCTCAAATTTACGCCCGAACGCCCTGTTTATACAATTTACGGCCTATCTAAATGTCAATATGTTTCTTGTTTCAATTAGTTAAATCACTTTAACATTCAATACAAAAGGAATTAATTGCAATACGATAATGGTTTCCGAAATATAGCGCTAGCAAAATTACCTGTTTTCCCAACGAAAGATATCTGCCACAAGCCCTGTCAGTCCGGTGAAAAAGTTTATTTTGTAATGATCGTCCTCCTCGTGGGCACAAAATAGACTATAGGAAGTTCATTGTCTCTCCCTTACATAGACAAAGAAACGAAATCTAAACATGACCCTGTGACCTACCGGCATTGACCGGTCGCCGGTTAATGGTCTGTTTCTCGCATCCGAAAAATCGACCGGCGCGCGCAGCTTAGTGAAGTGCCTACATCCACTCTATTCTATTGACTGGAGAATTATTCTGAGAGAGCGTGAGGGGGAAAAGACTTACTTTAGATATGGGTGGATGCCTGTGTTGCTGAGTTCACTCGTTCTTTCTTTAGTCTTTAGTAAGATGCCCTTGCTTGCAAACAAACTTAGCGTTGTCATGAGTCATACTATCCACAAATTGCGCCTCTTTTCTCAACTGAAAGAAAATAAACATGCAGTCAATATGATACATTGGTATAATTATATAATTAATAATATATATCAATATCCAAACCCCCCAGATAATTACCATTCATTAAAATTAGGCCTGCCTATACATCTTTAATGGCAAATTGATTTAGGGATTACATTAAGATTAGTCGCGGCCATCGATAAAATAGTGGCATTCGTCCTCTACATTTACCGTGGTAATAATCATTGGCTTGGAGAAAGAATTATTACATGACAAAACCAACTAAATTTAAAGTTAACCTATTATTATTATTACTTACTTACGCTTATCTTGTGATTTTCTTTGGCCTGTTGTCGTTGCAGACTTTGACTTGCGTTTAACTCCTTGTTTGCAACAGTGAATTATAGATTCATATTTAAGGTGTTCCGAATTGTGATCTTTAATCTTCTCTGACGATCTTTTAGTGAAACACACATTGTGTTCTTAACAAAAATAATTCAATTCGTCTTCAAAAGACGCACAGGTGTCAAAAATGCTGCCAACCTCCATTTTTTGTAAAAGAAAGCGCGGCAAGCTTGTCGATTAATAAGCCTCTGGTTCGGATCATGTTTTTTTTCTTTCGATTACTAGGACTTTCGAGTGCGAATAGTCATTGGCAACGATGGGTACTCGGGTACCTCTTTCGATTACTAAGACTTTCGAGTGCGAATAGTCATTGGCAACGATGGGTACTCGGGTACCTATAGCCACTTCGTTATTTAAAAGACTGATTGCCCTCTGCTCGAGCTTAAGCGCGAGAATTAGGGAGAAAATGATTCTCAGACTTTCGTGTAAATAAATGACTTTTTAAAACTGAATAAAAATGAGAAAGATTGAAGTCGAGTGGATTGTACGCTCCCTTTAGTTTATAAATTTAAAAAAAAAAATAAATAAATGAAGTCAAACTATACAAAAAATATATTTGCGGTACATAATTTTTAATTGCTCCGATAAACGCAACTCGTATTAACAGATTTTACTACTTGAATCAAAGTGGTATACGTAGTTTTCAGATTATTAGGTTTACGGCGTGATGAAAGTAGTTCTGACCAACACAATTCTTTACTGCTAATGAATGTATATGCAAGTAAATCTCTGATAAACAAATCCCACACCAATGGCGCCAACGACAATCGAAAAAATATAGGTTGAAAAAAAGCAATTATTGTTAAGTAGTATTGTTGAAAGGTAAACTCAATATAAAACAATTTAGGTATACCAACAATTAAAACAGACCTGCACACCATCCGGCCCGCAAGCACCCAGTTGGTGGCCCGTGAAATAACGAAATATTCTTTATTATTATTTTCTTAATTATAATTTAATTATTTTTTTCACTTTTCATTGCCCTGTATTAAGTATTATTATTATTTCGAAAAGCACAAGTATGTAATAAAATATTTTGGCCCGCACACGTTTTTCATAAAGTATTACGGCCCACCTTACATTTTGATTTGTGCAGTCCTGCTTTATATTATTAACTTATGGTCATGGCATGGTAATCTACCACTTGAGCATGGGCCAAGAAAAATCCAGTTGTTCTGGTTTGAAGGGCTATTTAAACATTTATTCTTATATTATATATATTTATGACCTTGTACAAGGCAAATTATGATTTTTAATATGGACTCTACCAGGTTTTTAAACCTCAAATTAAAATATTTTGAATTAAATAGGCAGGGCGGTGCTAGACATTTTTAGTGGTAATTTAAGAGAGAGCGGCCCGAGTCTATTTCCATGGCCGCCATCTTGGTTGCCTCGACCCGCGCACTTTTACGTGTTCATTGGTCGAGGTAACCAAAGTGGCGGCCATGGAAAAATAAAATAATTCACATTTGCTAAAATTTGGAAGAAAAATGTAAAAATGTATGGTATGAAAAAATTGTCTGAAATCTATCCCTATGCCTAACCCTAACCCTAAATCGATCCCTATGCCTAACCCTAACCCTAAATCGATCCCTATGCCTAACCCTAAATCGATCCCTAAGCATAACCTGAACCCTAAAAACTATCCGTAAATCCACAAGCGAAAACACATGGAATTTCACACTTTGGCAAGAAAATGATAAAAATTAACAAAAAACAATAAAAAAGGGCCCCAAATAATTATAAACTGAAGAAATAATGAAAATCCAACTTACATTTCATGAAATACACTTTTACACACTTTATTTCAGGTTCCAAGGAAAATATAGCCACAAAATGAATAAATCTCCACACCCCACAGGCACCCCAAAGATATCAAATATGGCGGAACAACCGAAATATGATAATGAGCCAACCAATGAAAATTTTACAATTATAATTAATCAACCAATAAAATTTTAATTCCGAAAATGTAACTCTTTTAACAAAAAATACGAAAAAAAATAAGGGGAGTGAATCCAAAACAAAGTCGTCGTGGGCCGCTCAATCTGAAACAGCCTTTTTAGTTTTAGGTTGGGTGAAAAGAGGCAATTGTCGCCCTCCAGAAAATTAAGGAAAGAGTTTTTTAAAAAGGTGTTTTTTTATGTTAACAAATTTTGCCCTATCTCAACTATCTGCCTGTGGGATGATCATGCATTGTACCCGCCTTGAGCGGGCCCTTTAAATACTTAAATAGTGGTAACAATTGAATATATCCTGAGTATCAGCATTTTTAAAAAATGCCTAGAGGACTAGAGAGTAGAATTAAGCTTAGGTTTTTATTAACACAAAATTACTCAAGTCAAGTAAGAATTCATTTATATTCTGGACTGGAAAAGGTCTATTTTTTTTTACATATGAGGCCGCCTCTACATATGATGTTTCTCTATAGGTATCAGTATATATAATTATATTTTAAATTGAGATATTACACACACAAAAATAAAGCTACATTATTTGTTATTTTATTCTTTATATATAATTATCCAAGTATGTTTTTTATTTACAATATTTTAAGTGAGTTTCTTAAATAAACTATTCTTTGAGAATATATTTGAAATTCTCATTATACATATTGTTGAACAAACTCAATTTGTTATAATGCTCTACAGAAAGTGAATGGAGAGCTTTGAGTTTGATGACGATGAAGATGATGAACACCTTGCTTTGGCAACATTGGATGTTGACAAAACCAGCAACCTTAAGTTGGAGGAAAATGGAAAAGGCAAGTTTTGGATGTTAAATTTTTATTGATGTTTTAAGTTACCTTTGGACTTTGATGTGTTATAATTTGAACAATCTTATTCAGAGACCTTTTTATCATTCATTTCTAAACCTTAATTGGAGAGTTAGAATAATATAATATTTAGAATTAACAGTATCCGAAAAACTCAATCTTTGAAACATGCTGTGCAGAAGATGCTACTTGAGATTGTGATTGTCTTTTCAATAGACTGAGCGTCATTTTAAACAAATAATTTATTGCAGTTCATGGTCTTTCTTAACAATAAACATAAAGTCAGATTAACATACATTTTCAGGCAATATGAATTACTTTTTATTAAAGCCATTGTCATCTCTTCTTATAAAATATTGAGACTTACTTAGAAATTATACATTAATTTGAGTATTATTATAAAACTTGACCTCAGATTACCCAGAGTCCCCTGTGGAGGTACCAGGCTCATTTCCTTTTCCATTCACACCTTATGATATCCAGAAAGATTTTATGAGAAATTTATATGAATGCCTGGAAGCTAAAAAGATTGGAGTATTTGAAAGTCCTACAGGAACTGTGAGTATTCAGGTGTTGTCAAATCTCTTCTGTGCTCTATATATACTGAAATAAAGCAGACTGTGGCCGATATTCTCAGTGTTTAATGAAAACAAATGGTTTAAGTTTAAGTAGTTAAGTTATATTTATGTTCAGGTAAATTAATTTTATATATTACTCTAATATTGTTTATGATTATGAGATTATTTGAATTATATTTATTTGTTTAGGGTAAATCACTCAGCATAATATGTGGTGCCCTGAGGTGGTTGAAAGATTTACAAGAGAAACAAAGGAAAGAACTTGAAAACTTAAAACAGCTTGCCTGGTTGGTTCTCTTTTTTTTTCTACAAGATCTTACCAAGTTAGAGTTGATGTTTTACATACTTTTCTTTTGCAAAAATCTTAATTTAAAATATGCCATATTAGTATCAAGTTATAAATTGTAAAACTAGCTAAACATTCGTTGTAACAAGATTTAAAGAATCAAAAGCATATAATTTTCTTCCTTTGTGGTAATAGTTTTTAGCAAGGCTGTGAAGTCAGAAAGTTTTGCTGGAGTTCAAATTTAAATCCTGATGAAATGTTATCCACTCCACAGCCCTTAGTTACTGCTGTAGGTTTTATTGATATTTTATAAGTTTGTTTATTTATGTTGTTTCAGTGAGACAGTTGCCAAACCTGCTCAGGCTAATGACAAGAAAGGTTTTTATGATTTTGCTACTATTACTACTATATTTAACCTCTATATTTTATTATTTTTAAAATAAACAGGCAGCCTGAACTCTCCATATGGAACTTGTTTTGTGATAACCGTTTTCATTTTTCATTACAGAGTTGGATTGGATACAGGAGTTTTCTCACAAGCTGGAGCAGAATGAGAAGCTGAGTAAAATTAAGGTGAAGGTAAAATTCAATGTTTTAATAATGCTTGTCTGAGTTGTCTTAACTTATGTATCCAAAACATTCTTATAAGATCCGGGGAAGGAGGTGAGTATTTTACCATTATAAGGCACACAAAAAATGTGGATTGTTTTGTTTGTCAAAGACAGATTTAAGGAGAATTTTGAACTATTTTATGTTGGTCACAGGTATGTGTAAATTATTTTTTAAAATTTATATATTTAAAAAATATCATGGGTCACATTACAAGAGAAACTTTGTTGTTGATTTATTTTTCCAGGCTGAACAGGAACATATTGAAAAACGAGAAGCTAAATTAAAAGAGCTACAAAAGTCTAGTGTGTTGTCACGAAAGAGAAAGGTGAGAACCTTATAACAACATTGTGTAGAGGAAATCATTATTTTATTAGGAGCATGCAGTGCCATTCACTATTTAGTATGGTCTAAGGATAATTCCCTCCCCCCCCCCCCCAATTTAAATTTGCTTTGTGTGTTTTATCGTTATACTGCGTCATCTTGATGTTTGACTCATTTTGTAGAGGAAATCTTTTTTTTATTAGGAGCATGCAGTGCCATTCTCTATTTAGTATGGTCTAAGGATAATTCCCCCCCCCCCCCCCCCAATTTAAATTTGCTTTGTGTGTTTTATCGTTATACTGCGTCATCTTGATGTTTGACAGATTAGTTTATTAGTTTATTTACATGTTTGTCAAAGTTGAATCAACTCTATTAATTTGAATTTTCACGTGTTGAATAAATAATTACAAAGGGTGATTGTGATTTTTTGCACAACGGATAAGATTAAAAAATTTAAATCATGCCATAAATTTTAAAAAAAAAAACCCAGTAATATTTCATGCATATTTTTTTTTTTAAAATGTGTTTGTTATTTTGGCGGGTCATATCAAATACCCACATAACTGACAATCTCATGAAAACAGTTCAAGTCCTCGCTTGATTCCAACTTTGATGACCTGATGGCAAGTGCCCCAGATGATATCAAAAGGGCTTGTAAAAATGAATTGGAATCTCTTGAGAAAGAACTCCTGTCTGAGGCTGCAGAATCTGGGAAAGATGATGAAGAACTTATTTTGGAAGCATACAACAGTGAGGAGGAAGAAGAAGTCAAGTCGCAAGAGGAGACAGAAGATGAGGAAGAGGAACATGTCACCAAAGTATGTTATGCTTTTGTGAAATTTATGAAATTGGCGAAAAGTTACGTATACTTTGCAAGTTTGTGCTTGGAATGAAAATTTTGTCGTTGAAAAATGTATGCCTGATCGATCAACTGAAATAAAATTCAAAAAATTTTCTTAACCGTAAAAAAAAATGAAACAGAATATGCAAGTAATCTTGTTGTTCACTCAATGCTTGACAATTTCCACATTCAATTATTTCATCAGATTTACTACTGCAGTCGTACTCACTCTCAGCTGACCCAGTTTGTAAGGGAGGTGATCAGATGCCCGTACGATGATGTTCGAGTTATTTCTCTTGGATCTAGACAAGTGAGTTGACATGAAACCCTCAATGTTTTTGTGGGGGGTGGGGGGGTGGGGGGGGGAATTATGTAAAAATGAATACATTTAAATATCTCACTTTGGATAAATTCCTTTAACTTATTTCCTATAAACTGTTATGTTGTTTTCAAATGAATACTTTTGCGTAACTGTTTTTTAACTCTTTCCGCCGTTCTGAAAAGCACGAATCAACGCGCTGTGGGTTGTTTCAATATCATGTTTGCTTCTTTGCTATTTCTTGGTTAAACGTTTTTAAGAGCTATTTTTAAATAAGACTTTTACATAGAAGAGTGGTACTTCATTGTTTATAAGCGAAACAAAGGTTTATTTCTCTAATTTGAAGCATTATTTTAAAGATATTCTTCGCATTTTTTTTTTCTACTGTTGCTATGGCTACCCTTCGTCCTAGTAGGTAAGTTTCCTAGACGATTAACAGCTCAAAAAGCTTTGGAATTGTTTTATACTATTTATTTTGATAGTGAAGGTGATTTATATTTAGATCCATCACATGATAGTAGTTTTAGAGGATTTGAGTTATAGAAGTGAAGATGAGGTGTGCATACATGAAAGGGTTTGGGGAAAAAAATGCTTTAGCATAAGGTGCATTTTAAGTCTTATAAACCAAACAATAATATTTTAAATATTTTTTAATAACCCAAACTCTCATTCATTTTTGCTCTTTGAAAAAAGTTATATTTTTGGGGGGATAAAAAAATGTCCTGTTCCTTTTTTTTTCTTTTCTTTTTTTGCTAAGTTTCTGTGAAGTGCGGTAGGCCTAGCCCACGGCTGGGGTACTGCGCTATATAAGTCCACTTCAATAATATTATATGCAAATATATGTTTTCTTACACACTTTCAGTTCACTCTCTCTTTGAATAATGCAGAATTTCAACATATATTACATTCATTAATGAAACTAATTTTATAAATCTAAAAAAAAATTATCCTTTTCTAAGTTCATTGGCTACTTTTTTGGTATTATAAATCTCAAATTTTACCGTAATAAAACTTAATTCTTATGTGTCCTGTAATCTCCTTGGTAGCTTGCAAAACAGAAACATGTGCTAAGCATGTTTTGGGTTTTCAACAACTTAATTTCCATCTCCAACATAAAGTGCTTCAGTTTCTAAACAGTGAGCTACATTGAGATCTTGGTGCACAAAAGTTTTTTGATTTCTAATTATTTGTTGTTTATTGTTTTGTATTGTCTGCTGATGAAATCATCTATCAGAAATGTTCTTTTTATTGTTCTTTCTTTTAGTTTCAAGCTGAAATATATCTTCTGAAATAATTCCTTCACACTGCTTAAACACATGTTATGCTTTTTTTATTAAAAACATTTGGCTGTTCCTTTCCCAGAACATGTGCATTAATCCAGCTGTCAAGAAGCTCAACTCTCTCAACATGATCAATGACAAGTGTCTGGAGCTGCAGCAGAAAAAAAGTCAGCAGCTATTTAAGTATTTGTTTCCATCTTATTTTTAGCATGTACTAGACCAGGGGTTAGCAAATCGCGGCTTGCGAGCTGCATGCGGCTCTTTAGCGACCCGAGTGCGGCTCCTCCAGTTGGCCACAAATCGGTTTGACTCCGAAAAACATGGTTCTTGACAAGAACTTTGGCTCTCAAAAATTTTTTAATCATGCTACCGATGATTTTTGCCTAATGAGTTTGCCGACCACTGTACTGGATACATGCACAATTTTTCCTACTTTATTATGTACTTAATTACCTGTAGCTATAAAACTTTTAGGCTTTTTTTGTGATGGCCTTAATCCAAAAAATATTTAATGTATAGCTGACTAAAAAATTCAGGCCGTGGTTTGCTACTTGACCTTGTTTGGGAGCTTAAAATATCTTAATTCACTTAACAATAGTTTGTGCAATCAGTTATTTTGATTTTAACTGCTATCAAATAAATCTCTAATAAGGCAAGAAAAGACCTGGCTGTGCCTTTCACAAACAAGAACTGTTGCATGCATTCAAAGATAAGGCCTTGGTGAGTTTACAATATATGCAAATTTAAAAGGTTAAAAAAAAGTTAACTTGCGTCATTATGGTGAAAAACAAAAACAAACATGGATTTAACACCTTTGATATCTCTTGGAAGCATTGAATGTCAAATAATTTTTTTTAAAATTTTAAAATGTTTAAAGCCAAAAATGAACAAATCAAACCAGCCAATTACTTTCAGTGCACTCATCTAATTTCAATGTTATTTCAGCTTGAAGTTACAGATATTGAACAGCTGGTGGTGACAGGGAAAGCAATGAAGGCTTGTCCCTACTATGGTGCACGCTATGCTGTGCCTGCAGCAGAGGTAGGTCCTCTCGTGAATATCTCCCATTCCTGTTATGCCTCTAAGCATGCTAAAAAAGAACTCTAACGTCCCCCATCAATCATAAAAATAATTTAAAAGGCCTCTTAATATATATGCCATATCTGTACTCGTTGTTTAATTTATTTTGTTAAAACAGCCTCTGGCAGTTCACTGTATTTCAAAATGTCTGGATGTTTATGCACCAAGAAAGCATTCACCTTCTTTCACTCTGCTATGTGTAACATCCCATGAAAGGTATCCGCTGCCACTCTAGGACACATTGAGGAATGGTGGCAACATTCAAGTGCTAGAATTAACTTTATTGTTCACATGATACAATCTACTGATAACTCATCTTTGACAGATTGTTGCCCTGCCTTACAACACCCTCTTACACAAGTCCACCCGTGAGGCCTGTGGCATAAAGCTGGCCGGTAATGTCGTCATCATCGATGAGGCCCACAACCTCCTGGAGACAATCAACAACATCCACAGCGTGGAAATAACAGCCTCACAGGTCAATACAAAATTCATCATTCAACTAAAAAATTCAAGAATTAAATTATATAATTTTTTTAAAATTTTAAAATAAACTTTAAAAAAATTTAACCTGTTGATCCCAGTTGTTTTCCTGTTGAGCTCATAAATGAGTATTTAGCTATATAAGTAAATAATTTTTAAAATAAATTTGATTCATGTGCGTTGAAGACTTAAACGCAATTATCTGACATGCTTACATGCTTCACTGCTCATTCAGGTTGTGAAAGCTCACTCTCAGCTCAGCCAGTATGAGAAGAAATATGTTTCACGTCTGACTGCCAAGAACCTTATGTACGTGCGTCAAATTCTCTTTGTTTTGTCACACATTGCAGAGTTTTTAGGAGGTGAGCTTTGTATCTATAGGGATTTGTGTGTGTGTGTGGGGGGGGGGAAGGGTTGATATGTTTTATATCCTCTCTAGAATTTAGTTGTTATCTTTATAAAGCATGTCTTAAACATTTTCTAGAAAGTATTTAAGTCACAAAGAAACCAAAAAGTTTTGAAAGAAGACAATGTATTCTATGACTCTATGGCTTCTTTTGTCATTTCAGCCAAAGTGAACACATCAACAGATTTGCAGACAAATAGTAAAGCAGGTTTGTGAACATCGTATGACCATATAATTTGCCATAATGCTTATCAAAAGGCTTAATGAAAATTAATTACATATTAAAGGAAATATTTGAAGTTTAATTTTCTAAGTTAATACTTATTAAACTTACAATTTAAAAACTCAAAAATTCACCCTCACATCATGTGAAAAGTTAAACAGTTATAAGTTATTTATAGTTATCTAGTGATAAGTATGTCATGAAAAGGTTTGTTCAGACTTTAAAAATGAACAATTTAAAAATGCATCTATAATCACTTTTTTAATCAATCAGATGTGCGCCTGCTAAACTTGAATGATTTCCTGTTCCAAGCAAAGCTGGACAATTTGAATATGTTTAAGTTACTTCGATATTGTCATCGCAGTAGAATAAGTAAAAAGGTAAGGCCCCCCACCATTTGTAGAGTTTTCTATTGATAGACCTTTCATGTGGTTTTGTTTAGGAAGACATCTTTCCTTATTAAAGAGCCTGTTGTTTCATGCAAAAGAACTAGAAAGTAAAATAAATGGCTGCATTTTATTTTATTTTTTAAATATTCAAATATAATTTTTTAAAAAGTGAATAATTGAACCATGATGTTCCACATACAAATCTTTAAAAATAAATTTAATCAGATGTGCAACTAAACCTGCATGATGCATTTGTTTTTTTCTCAGTTAAAAGCAAATTATATTTATTTAAAAATGATTTGTTTCAACTCTATTTAAACAGTAAAGTGTGTGTCTGTCTTAATTAAATCAAGGGATTTATAGTTTTATATGTTTCATTCTCAAGAGTTATAACACTTAAGATGAAAATAAAAAGCATTCTGACAAATTGTTTAGCCGTGCCAATGTTTTTAGTTATAATGAAACAAAATCAATATTTCAGCTGAATGGTTTTGTGGAGAAGTATCAAGAGGCAGAAATAAGACCAGGTAATAGTTTGAATGATTAAATATTGAGATTACATATTATAGCAAATATTAAGAAGGAACTGTAGTGATTTTTAAAACAATTATTGAATGCATTTATGTTTTATCTTACAGAGCAGGAAAAAACAAAAACTCCAGTTTCAGGTGTTACCAAGTTTCTCCAAAACATTAACATGGCTAACCAAAAAAATCTGGAGAACAAAGTGACTTTAGAAGGCAAGGAATTTTGATTTATATTAAGATGTCTCTCTTGCTTTTAAAGATGTGTAAGACATTGAAGAGCTAAACTTTAACTTTTTTTTAATGAAAGCTATGTTTATAAAAATTTAACAACCTTTGCTTTTCTATGATTATTGCCCTATTCTCAAACTTGGTTAATTTAACTTAATTTTTTTTTAAATTAATAAAAGGCTTTTGTTAATACTAATTAATAATGCCTACACATTTAGTACTTGAGAGAGCTTTTAAATATAATGTACTTTGATGTTTTATCAGCTCCACCAAAAGACTTGCAACCTGCCAGTTTAATGAGATCTCCCCTTATGCAGATTGAGAGTTTCTTGGACACCTTGACCAATGCAAACCAAGATGGTAGAGTGGTTGTGAACAAGCAAGGTACTGAATAGGTTGTATTGATTGTTGTTAATTTTGTCAGCATGAGTGCAGGCAGCTGTCCTGAGGTAGAGGAAATATTACACTTCAATTGAACATTATTTAAATCACTCTGCAGTTGTGTGCAGCCATTTGAGCTATTAGTATTAGCTCCAAAATGGTGGCTATAGTATGTGAAATAAGACAAACAATGACAAATGTGTTTCTCCCTCAGTAAAGCTGAGCCAGACAAGTCTGAGATTTCTCATGTTAAACCCAGCTGTTCATTTCATCAGTGTGTTGAAAGAGGCCAGGGCAGTTGTTGTAGCTGGTGGAACAATGCAGCCGGTAAGCAACTCATGCAGTTTCGTTCAACAAATAATAATCATTATATCGGTCATGGAATTTTACAAAGCTATTCCCATCATTCTGTCAATGTGGCTTCAAATAATTTAAAATGATTTCTTATAACAGTTTAATAAGTTACTGTCAACTGAATATCCTTTTTATTTCATTAATTCTTTCACTGCGGAATTTTTTTATTGAAAAATTGTACATTATTTTCAAAGAGCAAAAAATAGTGAGAGACTGGGTTTATTAAAAAATATTTAAAATATTAATGTTTGGTTTTTACAACTAAACTTGATACCAAAAGAAAGATAATTTAATGGACTACATGTTTGTAAATTTATTTCTTTAGTTTAAATAAAATAAGTAAACCATTTTTCCCCAAACCCTATGGTGTACACAAACCTCATCTTCACTTATATAACTCAAATCCTCTAAAACTACTATCAGAGTCATGCCATGGATATAAATAAAATCATCTTCACTATCAAAAGAAATATTGCAAAACAATTGAAAAACTTTTTGAGCTGTTAATCGTCTAGGAAGCTTACTCACCTACTAGGGCCCAGAGTAGCCATAGCAACAGTAGAAAAAATTGGGAAGAAGTCATTAAAATAATGCTTCAAATGACTACAAATAAATCTTGCTTTCGCTTATAAACAATGAAGTACCACTCTGTAAAAGTCATTAAAAAATAGCTCTTAAAAAGCTTAACCGAGAAATAGCAAAGAAACAAACATGATATTGAAACAACTCACAGAGCGTTGGTCCATGCTTTTTAGCATGGCGGATGAACGCACTGTGCATTGCTTCACAGTAAAAGAGGTAATTCTTGTAAATTCCATATGAGGTGATGGCTATTGAACATAATGGCAGTTTGGCCAAACATTATCATTAAAAACAGTGTTTTTTTAAAGTGAAAGATCACTTCATACATTTTTAAAATGCTATTTATGGGGCGATTACTAAACTTAAATATTGTAACAGTTGATTCATACTGTCCTCATACCACTGTCCAGATATCAGAGTTCAAAGATCAACTCTTTCATGCTGCTGGAATTCAGTCCAATAGGATAATGGAATTTTCCTGTGGTCAGTGATTATCTATATCATTAAAAATAGTCATAGACTTTACTGTTTACTTCCTTCACACTTTAGCCTATCTGTATTTTCATGTGGTCAGTCTTTATCTGTATCATTAAAAATATTCCCTAGACTTTCCCATTTATTGGCCTCATACTTAAGCTTCTTGTATAACAGCGATGATCATACTATTGTTAACTCATTTACATTGACTTTGTTTGTTTTAGGTCATGTTATTCCAGGTCGTCAACTCCTTCCTATGGTTGTTTCTAAAGGACCAACTGGCGCTTCCCTAGATTTCACATATCAGTCCAGAGATAAGTCACACATGGTATGGCCAGATTTACCTGTAAAAAAAAAAAAAAAAAACAAAAAAATAACAAAAAATTATGTCTCTGATAAATGATAAAAATGTCCAAAAATTGTAATAAACATTCTGACAGTAGTAATCACTTGGTTGTTTCTAAAGGACCAACTGGCGCTTCCCTAGATTTCACATATCAGTCCAGAGATAAGTCACACATGGTATGGCCAGATTTACCTGTAAAAAAAAAAAAAAAAACAAAAAAATAACAAAAAATTATGTCTCTGATAAATGATAAAAATGTCCAAAAATTGTAATAAACATTCTGACAGTAGTAATCACAATTTAAAATATTAAAATATTTAGACTACCCATATTTCATTTATATAGGTCAGATAAATGGACTCTCCTGGTTTTTAAAGTTTTCTCTTGTAATGTTATCACAACCCTCAGAAATTTAATGCATTTTAGAAACCCAAGGCCAAGGGAATTATGAACTATGAAATGTTACAAGTATTTGTTTGAGACCATTTACATTTTCAGATAGAAGAGCTCGGGCGAGTTGTAACTAATGTATGTAATGTTGTTCCTGGAGGAGTGATATGTTTCTTTGCTTCATATGATTATGAGAGTTTGGTTTATGCAGCATGGGAAAAATCTGGTGTTATCAACAAGATAGAAGCCAAGAAAAAGGTATATGCAAGACTTCGCACATATAATTATGCCATGATGCTTTAAAATTCCTTTTTTTAAATTTATTAATGAGACACAAACAATTTGTGTAAATAAAACAATAAATGTTAAGCTTTAATTGTGATTAGACACAATACAAGTTCAAACATTTTGGCAAATGCCTTCATTAGTACAATAAAAAATATTGATATAATGATAAATTAAACTTACATAATATTTATGTATATCCTTACCTGTACCTAAAAATGAAACAAAGGAAAAGAATAAGAATGGGCACGAGTCACTAACGAAAGCAAAGATCAGAAGAACTAGAAATAAAGATGGAATATGAAAGAAGTTGATGATTTGATTTTACTATAAATTTAATTAAACAGGTATTCAGGGAGCCTAAGAGAAGTGGTCTGGCTGATCAAGTATTAATGGAATACTCAGACTGTATCAAGGTTGGTTGGCCAAGAGTTAAAGTTTATACAAGCTCTACTTATACTATCCCATATGATTTTAGTTATTAATGATAGAACTGAAATGGCTGACAGAACTAAAATGAGCGACGCAACATTCTATTTGTAATTCATACCAAAAGAAGCTTTTGACAATAAAACTATTTAGTGAATAAAAGTTTGTTTGTTTGTGATTCCCATTTACAGAGATGTTTGTCGTGGCAGGGTACCAGAACTGGTGCTTTGTTGTTGAGTGTTGTTGGAGGAAAGATGAGTGAAGGGATCAACTTCTCTGATGACATGGGCAGGTTGGTAAAAAAATTGGATGTATCATAATTAGTTATTAATATGTTCAACAACTAAAGCACCAATAATAATAAACAACTAAAACACCATTAATAATGGCTCCAAACATAAAATTGAATGCAGTCATTCATGTATTGTGTATTGACCACTTTCTTAATTACCCAATGCACTCATTGTAAGCCGACCTTTTTGGAAATATTTCAGTGTAAAAGGTAGGATGGTCAGATTTGAGTGGGTCATAAAGGATTTGTATAATTTTTTCTTACTACATCGATTCACTTATAGAATATATAATGACGAAGAAATTTTCGGTAATTGATGAAGTCACTGTAGTGCTGTGTGCAAAATTGTGTCACAAGTGTGGGTTCTTACAATGCATTCCCAACTGTTCCACACAACATGGTCAGATTGTCATATTTTATAAAATCGTATCAGCAATTGAAATCTATTTTTAGATGATCAGAGCAACTCTCATTTTGATATAATTTGGTACCTGAACCTGAATTATATTTAATACCACATACCAAGACTATGACAAAGTGATCTGCTCTGGCACAAACTTGTTAATGATAATTATATCAGAGTACACTCCTCAACAAGACAATCACGTGTTTCTTGCCATCTATTTTTGGATATGTCCAGTGGGTTTAGCCACATGAAGAAAGTACATGTTGTCTCACACATAACACTGTAGTTTTTTCATTTGCCTATTTGACATACACAATTATTTTGAAAAGTCTGGATTTTAAATAAAAATATTTTCTTTAGTACTGTGTTGCTTACACTTTCACTAGCATGTTATTCACTAGGGTCGGCTTATTAACAGGTTATACACTTTTCAGGCTTTTCCCTGCCAAAATTGTGTGTGAGTGGTAGGGGGGTGGTTTGGCATATAAACTAACAGGCTTCAGAACTAGTATATATGTTACTCCAAATGTCATATCAGCTGTGATGTATTGTATGTAAAGAGGGGGCATCAAAACAAATGAAATGCACAATTTTGAATTCAACAAAGATCCCACTAACCAATTACATCCGGAACAATGAGAAATGCTTCACTGTGCCTCGGTGTAACACAGTCCAATATAAAAAAATCAAACTTCCCATGCACAATAATGGCTTGGAACCACCTGGACAATGCCGCCGTGGACTTAGCATCAATCGAGAGCTTCAAGGCTAGGAGCCGTTAGGATAGCAGCATGGCTTCCCCAACTGTTGCACATATGCCAGTGCATGGATTGAGCAACGTACCCTACCAGAACCAGGAGGACCCACATATTCTCTTTTTGGAGTTAACTCTGTGTGCTTACAGTGATCCTAGTCAAATGAACTGGAGTGACATTTCCTTGTTTACAATCATGGGCACTTGGTGACAGGCATGTAAATTTGTTTGATAATCATTATATTTAGAATTGTCTCCTCTTGTTTTCACCAGGTGTGTGATGATGGTTGGTCTGCCCTACCCCAATATTAACTCTCCTGAACTGAAGGAAAAGATGAGCTATCTAAATGCACATTTTGTAGGTTTTAGTTACCATAATCTAGTGTTACCGTAATGCTTTATTTTTACAGATACAACAATAAATAGTCTTTTGAATGTTTTATTAAGTCAGGGCGGTCTAACTGTAAGTTAGTCAGGGGTGGCATTTTATATTCCTTGACCAGTGGTCAGTAGCCCACCTCTCCTGAGCCGCATAAGTTTCTTCAAAGGAATATATGCTGCACATTTTTTTTTAACATGCAGCTCCCAAAATAATCTCTTAGCAGATATGATTTTATAAAAATAGCTCCTTACTCAAAAAAAGTTGCTGACTCATATTCTTGGGGAAAATCTAGCTCTATACAGAGCTGGTGCTGGTATGAACAATTTGCTGTTGTTGAAACTCTTTTAAACAGAAAATAATACATTGTTTTTTTTTTAAATAATTAATGTGCAGTTCATTAATAATCCATGTAATAATTTATTTTTCACATTTTAATTCGAGATTGTTTACGGAACTTATGAATGATGCTTTATATTTTTTTTTAATGTATCACTGGACCTGAGGATGCCTATTGTAGCCCTGTATTAAGTTAACCCTGCTCCCACTACATGTCTTTGTTAACAAAAGAAATTATTAAAATAAATAATTGTTCACTTTTCTTATTTAGCCAAAAGATCAAGAAGGGAGATTAGCAGGGCAAGTGCATTATGAGAACCTGTGTATGAAAGCAGTTAACCAATCCATAGGTAAAATTTTAACAAAGATTATATATATAGCAATATAGTTACATGCAGACTCTGGGGTCGAGCATCACAAAGAGATACATGTAGGAATATAGTTAAGTGCAGACTCTAGTGTCGAGCACACATTATAAACTATTTAAACTTTGATATTGACAACTTTTCTAAAGACACTGCCAATTAAATCATTGCATGTATTTATCCAGAGTAGATTGTCATCCATGAGAGACAAGAATTATCTGCAACATTTCAATTAACTTAAAATGTCCTGTCCTTACTGGTACTTCACTTCAGGTAGGGCCATTCGACACAAAGATGATTATGCTGCCATTATGCTAGTAGACCAGCGTTATTCTAAGCCCAGCATATCAAATAAACTGCCACAGTGGATAAGTAAGCATCTGAGTGTAGCAGACAACTTCTCGCAACTCATGCAAGCTCTGCCAAAAGTAAGTGGTCTTTTTTTTTCAGCTTTTCATCTGTCATAACAAATTTGTTTAACAACCAATTAACCCACAAACTGTCATCGGCAAATCTTCCATTCCCAAACTGTTAACAGATAAAAATTGCGTTGAAACAATAAGTTTCAGTCCAACATTTTACACCAAATATAACTACTTACTTTTATTAATAAATGAACTTCCATTTTTCTCTCTTCTGTGTCCTTTTTTTAAACTTTAGACTTATTTTTTCCAACGATCTTTATCAAGCGAATTTGTGTAAGTAGATTTTCACAAAATGGATGAGGCCATAGCACGACCATCTGGCTTACAAAATAAATCAGTTAGGAATCTTTTTGATAACTTTTTAGGTAATGACTTAAGTGATTCGGAAGATGATTTTCCGACCACACACGAAGACAATGATAATTCCGATTATTTTTCTAGGGGGTCAGAAAGCGAAAGTTTAGACTTTTACGATCTAAGCCTAGAACTAGTAGGCATTGCCCCAACAACAGGACTCGTTCAAAACTATATTGCAGATGATTGTGTACCAACAAAAAATAATTGGATGTTCTATATATGTTTATTTATATTTCATTTTATGGATTAATGTTCATATAGCAGCTTTTACAATTTTTATCTGTTTCTTGCTATTTAGTAATGTTTATATTGTTTATGTCGTGCTTTGTTACTTGAACGTAATTATGAGTACCACATCAGATAAAATTTTTTTTTTTTAACATCTATTAACAACATTTAGAAATAATACATTTTCTGAAAGATACAAATTCTCAAATTCATCATATTATATAAACATTATAATAATATGCCTTCAAAAAATTGTAGTTTGAGGTACTTGAAAAGAAAAATTTTCATTATTTTCTTTATTCTTGGTCACTCCAAGGTCAAGGTTATGGTCAGCGAGCATAAAATATCATTAAAAAATAGCCAGTATGATTCCCCACTCAGTCTACTTTCAATAAATTAAATATATACTTTATGGGGTCTAGCTATAGCATTTGCATATGAAAAATCACATTTTTCAAAGGCACCCAAAAAGCTCAAAATTGCCAGCACTGTACAGATTGATACAATGGACAGTTTGTGGGTGAAGTTTAACCTGAATCAAGTTATAAAAATGTTTATATTTGCTATTAAAACCATTTGGTAACTTGGGGTTAAGCATTAGGTTGATAAATGTAGGAAAAAATTCATAATTTAATTCCCATTAAGAAATCATAAAACTGACTGTGCATTTCTCTTGCAATATTAGTTCTATTACACAACATTTTCTGTTTCTTGGCTGGCATTATTAACTGACTTTATAATACCTCTTATATTTCAGTTTTTTGCTAGTCACAAGGTTAAAGTCTAATGCAAGAATTTTGCAGGAGCAAAGAACAAGATCTGACAGATGGATGACTTAGCTTTCATCCTAATTTATTGATCAAATATTTAAATTAAATACTGAAGTCAAAAATTAAAATGTATCATTTTAAAAAAGCTAACATTTAGTCCATATATTTGAAAAGTCTGAAATCATATTACTATTTAAAGAATTTTTTTATGCATTGTAAGCAGGTTTCAAAATTGTCAAAAGTAAATGAAAAAATATAACATTTTTAGAATAGTATTGAGATAAATGTTCTAAAAATTTACCTCACTGCAGTATACCTGGTTAGCATCAGAACTTATGGCACACACATGTTAAAATTAACATTCTTTTTTTATTATATTAATACAAAGCATGTCCATAATCATAATTTATTATAAGTGTTATTTTGCAAGTTACGTTGATTAAAGTTTTAAATTTTATGCTGCATAATGTTTTTTATTTTTTAGTTTTCTTTTACTTTTATAAGATAAATTGTGACTAATTCCGAAGTCAGTTGAACAAAATATAAGGTACGTCAGGGGTTGACAACGTTTAGGTATTTAGGTGCCAAAGTGAGTCTTTTAATACTTTCAGCGTGCCAACAACTCTAAGTCTAACATTTAAGAAGCATTTGATAGTCATTTATATTTATTTCTTTTGGTCTTCCAAGAGCAAGTGAAAATGGCTTTGCATACCAAGTCTGGCACATGCGCCATTGGTTGTGGACCCCTACGCTGTTGGTTGTGGACCCCTACGATAAATCAACTCTTAAATTAATATTTCTTTTACAGATAATATTAATACTAATACTATAGTCCAGCAGTTTGCATAAGTGCCAGACTTGGCACGCATAGCCATTTTCATTGGCATAGGGAAGGCACGCAGAAAGAGATAGGTCTTACTTTGACATGCTAATACCAAAAGGTTGTCAACACCTGCTATTAGAGCACAATCTTCTAAGCTCACACAAAGTACTGGATTGAAAAGTTATCAATTTTTTTTTTTATCATTTTAAATTACTCTCAAAAAGAAACTAAAGCCACAATATAAAGAAAGAAGACCAGGGCACTGTTTTTGGAAATTTTTAATTAAAATTTTAAAAAATTGGCTTTTAAAACACATCTTACAAATTATAATATAATTTGTATTCATTTGAATACAAAGTAAAAATATAAGTTATAATCATCACTAAAAACATCTGAAGCAGCAATTGAAAATATGGGCATCACATCCACCTAATGGCTAATGGCAAAAAGCCTTGTATGAGTTTAAAAAATCCACTTTAAAAAAAAGTAAGAGATTTTAAAATATTTATCCATATCAATTAAATTATGGTAATACAAGTTCCATATCATTGATATCATTTCCATGTCCATAATAAAAAGGTGATAAAAAGAGTATATTTGTGTTCAAGTTTCAGCTAAAATTTGATCTATAAAGTTCCTGAAATACCGGTACCCATTTAAAAATTTAATAATTTTTTGCTCAATGTAAGAATCCATTTATTCGTGGGGGAAAACATTTGGTTCCATTTTTTTTTTTTAAAATGATAAATAAACTTTTCAACACAAACATCAAGCAAAGACCTATTCAATCTGCTGCTACAGTTTCACTTCCAAATAACTCATTCTTTTTACGTCTCTCTCATCACGAACATAAAATAATGTCCAACACATTTCACCAATCTTCGTCCTCACTGTCACTGTTTCCATCATCTCTCAAGTTCTTTGTCTTGGATGCTCTGCCAAATATTTTGCTGGATTTACTTTTCTTCTTCTTGTCAGTTGGTGGCTCCAGCAGATCTCCCTGATAATTGATCATTTCACTTCTGCCGAGTCTCCATTCCAGCATTTCTGTGGGGAATTCATCCGTACCACCAAGGTCATCGAACCCAACGATGTAGTCGACAGTTTTGCCTTCCTTGGCAAGACACAGAGTTGGAAGAGTTGTGATCCTCAGTCTTTCAACCAGGAATTTGCTCCGTTCTGCATTAATTTTGATGAACTTGGTTTCCAGATGTTTGCGAGCTATTTCAGCAAGATGTTTATCCACAATCTTGCATCTAAATGTGGCATCTCTGTAAAAATGACAGACTACTTTTTTGCTCCTCTTGCAAGTATCAAAGAATTCCTTTTCATCAGCCACCTCACTGTACTCGCCATGGCCAGCGGCCAACCACTCTTGTTTCTGTTGCTGAGCTTTTTTCATGGCTTCTAAGCGACGCTGGCGCAAGACTTCTAGGTCATCATCATCAAGCTTTTCAAGTCGCTCAATTTCAGCATCCAGTTGGGTCTCAATGATTTGTGTTGCCTGGAGCAAATGATTTTCAAGAGCGTTTGCCATTTTTGCTGTTGCAGCCTCTGAGTGGTCAAGATCTGAAAGTAGATCATTTATTTTTTTAACATAGAGCAGAATAAGAGTGATTAATATTAATATTAAATATTTTAAGCATAAATATAGATGAAACACTAAGACCCTGAAAATGTTTATAAGTATTCAGCTTGTCACATTTTTGACGTAGGTAGTTTTCATCAGCTATCATCATCACAAGATTATTAAAAACATGCTGTTAATGTAATTATTATTCACAAAATAGTGATATGCCATAAAAATTTCTGATAGTAAATTTATGTATTTAATAAACATTAAAATCATTGTGAGGTAAATAAATTAATTACTATTTTTCTTACTAAATAACTTAACAGTTAACACTAGACATTGTATGTGTAGCATGAACATCACCGGTTTTCAACCTTTTAGTACATGATTAACTAAAAATTATTGCTTAAATTCTGAGACATGCCCATTTTCAAGTATTTAAAAAATATTGGCTATTTTGTAGTGGAGCTGTGTATAGTTTAGTTTATAATTCAGTACTACAAGTCGCCTAAAGATGAATGTTAGCAATGTATCACCGGTGCAACAACAGTGACAGGTCTAAGCTAACTATTCTTTTTTTTTTTTAAATTAGCAGTGTCAATGTTTAGGCCAACTAAAATTACACTTACACTACTAAACTACTAAAATTTAGTAGTGATATTGATATAATATTCAAGCAAATATATAATATAGTGCAAATAAGTTATATATTTGATTAACTCTCCATACTCCACGACACCCAGTGGCTCAGCTAAGGCTAAGGCCAGGGGCTCAATTATTTTTAAAAAGTGGGGTAGGGGAGGAATAATATGATTTTCATACCAGGGCTCCAATCACTGCTGGAGCTATGTGATCTCTGAATAACAGCAATGAGGGGAAAAAAGATTTTTTTGCATATTACAATTATTTAGGCTACTGCTAATAGTAATAAATTAATTAGTAATAGTAATATTAATAATTAATGTTTATAATCAAAATAAACAAATGGGTGCTGAGACTGAATCACACTGAATGAGAGTGAATGAGATTGACCTGATTGAGAACCCCAATTAACTCTTACTCTGTCTTCTATTGGTATTTCTAGCCTACTAAAGTAAACTCATTTTAATTAGTTATTAGTAATTAGGCCTAATTAATAGTTAATAATTAGTTTAGTTTATTAATCATTGCCAATTGTGGGAATGACTCCGGGAATGTGAGTCTGATTAGTCTGAAGATGACTAAATGAAAATGACTTAGACTTAAACTTAGTATCTAAAATAAAATCTAAATTTAAACTTACAATTAATAATCGTTTTTCTCTTAATAATTATTTCAGAGAATATTACTAAAATTAGGCCGATATATCAGTTATAATTATAAACAACTGTTATTATAATCCTATAATAGTCTATTTAGGCCTAAGCTTAATTTTTCATAATCATAATTCTATTACTAGTACTACTAGTACTACGACAATCAACAACCACACTTACTAATAATATATTTTTTAGTTAAGCCTATATATAACAGTTTTATTAAAATACATCAAATTAATAAACAAGAATCAAACAACATCATCGTTGTAATTATATTTTTATTAGAACATAGAAAAGCAGTACATAGACAATTATTTAATATATCAAATAACATTTTTTAATAAATTAGTCTCATCATCATAGATGATTTTGAGTAATTTTTATTTATAATTACATGCGTTCCAATTTATATATATAAAAAAGACTACTTACCTTTTTATAAATATAATAATTGATTTAAAATGTAAAACAAGCATAATAAAATTAGTTAAAATTCAATAAACATGTTATTTTTTCGTTTTTTCCTGTATAAATGATGATTTTCCCAATTTTTCTCTTCACTTTTTTCTGAACATACCCTCAAATAAATATTTAAAAAAATAAAAGTCTTGATGTTATGTAAAAGTTTTGTTGTTTATTGGGTTGTATATTGCATTGAGAATCTCTCCTGAAAATTTGGTAGCATTATCTTTTAAAATCCAAAAGTTTTGGGCAAAATAAGGCAGAAATTTGGAAAGTGGGTCACACGTTTTTTCATTTAAATACTAAGATAAAGAAGGGGTTTTAAAAAATCACCAAAAAAATCATAACTCCACTTCTATAAAAGATAGAAAGATGAAATTGGTGTTGTTGTAAAGCTTATAGCTAGCCCTTTAAAATAATGTATCATTCATAGCAATAGGACTAAATTTAAAATTTGTGTCAAAGTACCTATTATTATTGACATTACTATTGTAACACTATTAAATTTAAATATTGATTCAATAATTATGACGAAGAACGATAAACTGTCTACCGGTACCATACACAATTTTTAACGTAATAAATAAAACATAAAACCAACTCTTGGTTACTACATAATTAAACTTTGGTTATAATCTTTTCTTAAAATTATTAATTTTAAACGTCTTATCCTTATTTAGCTGTTTAAGGATTTAACATTAACGAATCACAGTGATAGCAGCCATTTCCGGCTTCTTGATCAAAATAAAAAAATGACAATTTTGTACCCCCACTCCTTCGTGGGATGCATAACTTTTTATAGACAAAGTCAAGATAATAACTCAAACAATGAAAAAACTCTTAAAATGAATGTAGATTGGGTATCACTAAACCTTATTTTGGTTGCTTAACTAGTAAAAAAAGTATTTTATACGATTTATATACTAACCGAGTCATTATAATAATACTGTCCGGGATACACAAAAAATCTAGTGGCATAAATCAATATATCACCGGAACACAAAAACTGATACGTCACTGATGAGGAAAGCATTATTTAATAAACAAAGGCTACGTAGTATGCAATTTTCCAAAGATACCGTGTAGCCGTACGCCATATTGTAGAACACATTTTATCGACATTTTAGGACATGCGCAGAACGGTGCGTGAACAAGTATTGTTATCCCTATTACAATTCACTAACAATTTACTATTTACAAAGACAGTTGAGTTAGTCAGTTAGTAGTTACTAGTTCAGACTATTCTCAGCAGTGTAACTTAACAATTAAGTTAAATGAGAATAGTTTGAACTCAAACTGAATAGTCCTACTTACTAAATTGTAAACACTGTTAGTAGTACTGCACTGTAGTAAACTACTCTTACTCTTACTCTTACTAACTTAACTTGGTCTGGTATTTGCCTTAATTCTTAATCATAATCTAGTATTTTTCTTGGCTACCTTTTTCTTAATAAACAGTATGATTGAATAAACCTTAGGGTCCGATAATCGGTGTTTACAGATTTTAAATGTGTGTGTACGTTACCTTAGTCTCAGTTAACGAAAATTAACTTTATTTTTTAATCAATGTGTGAAGTGTGAAGAGAAGACTTGCACAGGCGTAGTTATTTCGTTTCGCCAAGAAATACCGTCAATAGCTTTGTAAATTTGAAGACTTCTACGAGTTAATTCATAAAAGCATTTTTGATTGGTCGATTAGTCATACCGAATTCTGGAATAACTAATCATTTATCATAATGTTGTCATGGTATCATTGGAGTGTTGTTATTTTCAACATAGGGTGGGGTTGATTTTTTTGGCTGTTTTTTTTTTTTTACAGACTTGAGGGGAAAAAAAAGCTTCATATTCATTTTAATTTAATTACACTTTGTCAAACTTAAAAGTTATTGATTGAAACTTTAAAAGTTTAGAGATTCAAGTGTCATTACACAAGACAATTACACTTACACACCAAAATTCCCAAATTTATTCACCGCCAATCCTACTTTATGATGCTTCATTATCATATTTATTATTTGTGATTTAAGGAGCTGTTAATTTTTAAAAATATAAAATAATGCATATAATTTTATTTGTGTGTATGGTGGAGTGGTGTTATTTTATACCAATCACAATTTATATATAATTTATAATATATCGAATCAATTTTTTGTTGTCAATACAGTATAGACATAGGCATAGGATAGACCTATCATAAATAAACTGCAATCCAAGCATTCAAGCATACTACAAATCCTAACGAAACATTTAAGCATACAGTCATAAGCTGTCTCCATTATCTTAAAACCAACAGCTGAACTTGTGAACATGATATTTATTAAGGCTAACATTCAATGGCATAGCCATAGGAAGGGGGCATGTGGTGGGCGGTGCGCCTCGCCGGCATTTTTTCTTATTTTAAAAAAAAAAAATTTTTTTGAGGAATGATATTTTCGGTCAACCGAGTTTTTTGCGAGGATGGGAAGCCGCAAAATTATTGATCCACCCGGGTGGCACTAACCGTTTACTAAAGCTAGCTACACGACTACTAAAATCGTATTTCAATGATTGTGTGTATGGGAGTAAGGGGGGGGATATGGAAAGAGTTGCAATAATTATATTACAGCAATCTCAGCTTTAAGCATTATGATGTTTTTACATATAAACTTCTTTTTTTCCATGAATCTTTTTTTTTAATTTAAAAAGCGAAATGAACCATTATTGTTCCATTATGATTACGATTGAGCAAATTCATGCGTTGGTCCTAAAAGTCATCGTTTTCGGACAGTTAAGTGATTCACTTTTTTTTTGAAGATTTAAAGCAGCATACCTTCCTTTTGCCGTCCAGTCCTCTACTGTTTTGAAGAGTGTCATGCTTTGGAGGAGACATTTTACAACCAGGGCCGTCGCGTCGCTTTTGGGGGCCCCTACCACTTTTTGGTTTCGTGCCCTTACTCAAAGTTGATTTTTTTTCTTCTTCAAAACGCAGTTTTGGACCCCTATTAGTAATTAGAGGCAGCCGTAGGGGATGCGATGGCTATGTCATTAGTATTTCATGTGTACAACTATAGGCTATATATATATATATTTTTTATTTTTTTTAAGGCTAACTATATATATATATTTACTATAAATTTACCATTTATTCAGGTAGTCCATCCAGAGTAGTCTGAGTCTAGTCACTTCTATTTTTTGTTTTTTTTTGTTTTTTCATACCAAATGCGATTTAAATAGAAATGATGTCGGCTAATCTAGAATAGTAGAAGTATAATAAGCGACAAGGGTGTAGTGTAGAGAAAAAAGTACATGTTAAATTTTAAAAATCCAAACGTTGTTTGTTGATAGTTTAAATAATAGCCTATATTAGTGTTTCATTTTAGTTTTAATTAGTGTGATAATTAATCATGGTTGATATTATTTAGTTGTCTGTGCTTAGGCTTCGTGCATCGAAATGTTTAAATATATTAAGAGAGCTGAAGAAGACTTTAAGTTAACCAAAATATTTACTGGCCATTTATTTACTAAAATTAACGGAGTGGCTATAGGTACCCGGGTACCTATAGCCGCAGCCTAAAATTAAAGGCTAGCCAAAATTAAATAAGGGTGCACTCCCACTTGTTTATAAAACAATAATTTCTCCCTGCAGGGTAACAGATTTCCCGGATGAACGCCCTAATGGTCGGCCATAATACGGAATTTCAAACTTTATTAACTTTAGGACCATGTAATGTTTTAAAATTAAACCAGAAAACTGAACTAAAATAAAGAATAATACAATGGCAGGAAGAGATCTGTCAAAAACATTTGAAGAAGTAGAGTCTGAAGATTTCAGCCTTGAAACAAGTATGCCAACGGATTTAACCATCTCTCCCGATCACAGTGAAGCTGAAAACAGAAACAAGAAAAAACACATCACCAAGCATTTAATTGAAAGAAAGCAGTTGATACACGACATGCAACTACTCAAAATAGAAGTATCTCAAAAGAATCTTGCCCTTGAAAACATGAAAGTTGAACACTTGCAACATGTAGAGGAACTTGAAGAAAAACTGCATGACATCACCCATCAAAAACAAATCTTACAGGTGACTTTGTCTACTTAGATCTAACTGAGACTACTGTCTAGACTACTCTGTAATTGTTCTGGACTTTTTAAAAAATAAAATAAAATTCAGGCTGTTTATTTAGCCATATTGTTTAAGCTAATTACCATTTTAAAATTGAATTGGGTATGTTATCTAAAATAAAATTTAGATTTTATTTATATTACTCTGAAAAAAGGTTCGCCTTGAGTCAGAGCTACAGATACAGTCTGAGGATGCCCGTAAACGACAAGAACTTATTAAAAGGGAATTGGAGGCTGTAAGAGCTAGACAGCAACAACTCGAGGGGGCTAATGAAAGATTGCAGGAGAAATCAGGAGATGTTCGGCGATCTCTTCGTGATCTAAACATATCAGAGGAGCGCTTTTATCAACTGCGAGCAATTTCAGAGGAAGAATTATCACTCAGAGATTATGTTGCTGTATGTTATTAAAAAAAAATTACATTATAATTTTGATTAGTTCCTGATGAAGACTTGAATATGAAGAACCAGATTATCCTACATAAACATTGGTTTAATTTTAAATGTTGTAGAAATGAATTGTTTTCCATAGGCTTTTACTTAACCAGCATATTTTAGTAACATTAATTTGATTACATTCAGTTTTTGTTGTTCAATGAATGAAAGTTTAATAATGTTTTAAATTATTTTCAGATGCGCCTCTATGAAGCCACAAAGCCACTGCAAACAGAAGTCTCCCAGCTTAGGTTACACAACAAAACTTTGGAGGAAGAAGTGTCTGTAATGTCTAGAGACCTTCTGGACTTGCAAAAGGTTTGATATTATTTGATCAATCGTTATTGTTTTGATGTATGTTTGTAATATATTTTTGACCAATGACATATTTAAATAAAGTTAATGTCGAGGCATGTACTATTTTTCTATTTAAAATAATTTTAAAATTACTAATTCTTTTGGCAAAGTAAATTTTTGAAGATATTTTGCTTTTTTTTTTAATCAGGAAATTAATACATATAGTTGTGTTGCAAACGCTTATCACTATTGAAAAAATAGACTTTTATACCTCTTATTTTGCCTCTTTAGAAATTAGAAGAGGAAAGACAAACACATGGAGAGTTGAGGGTTCGCTACCATAAAATATTAACTGAGCACTCAGAGATATCAAGTAAAGTAAAAGTGGATGATTATAAAGTTGAAAACTATGATAAAGTCAAGAGGTTTGTAGCATTCATATGAATTAAAAATAACCACATCTGGTAAAATTAACGCTCCAGAATTGTGCTGCGACTATTGTGAGCCAAACAGTGTGTGGGGTATGTGGGGCAGGGTGTTTAAAAGAAATGAGGAAATCAAGTCATGTCAGCTTTTCTTGGAAGTAGGAACCTGTTACCTTAGTAAAGCAACACACCAATCTGCTTTTGGATTTGGTAGCTAGTCAATTAAAACAGTTTGAATATACCTATAAATAGCGAACATTGGGGCTTTGTGTGACCTATCCCTTTTTAAAAATGCAGGATGGGTTTGTAGGGGTGTAGACAGGTGGATGAGTGTTTTGGGTGGGAGTAGTATGAGGGTTATGTGTTTAAATTTTGTATGAGATCATAAACTTTTCATTAATTTAAGGCTAGTTGGTGGGAGTTTGCTAATGCCATGTAAAATTGAAAAAGCTCAAAAAGTGTTCAAAATATATAAATAAAAGTGCACTGACTTATGATAACATTTTATCAGACCAATCAAACATTATTTTTCATTCTAAATTTACCATGGCAGCTGATAAAAACTTTAAGCTGCTTACAAATGAGTAAGATATTTAGATATATTGTCAAATTTGCCATTTCAAATAATTCCTTTTTTAACACTGTAAAAAAGTATCTTTCATCATCTGTTATTAACAGTGAGAGGGATGGACTGGAACATGACCACATGGAGGTAACACGTCAGCTGATAACACTAGAAGCTGCCTACAGCAACATACAGAAAGAGAGAGATGAGCTCAGTAGAGAAGTAAAATAATAATAATAATAACATTATTTCACTAAAGGAGATGAAGAACAGTAATTGTTAATGCTAATGATGTTAGTGGTATAAATTGCATCTGTTAAGTATTGAAAACCACCAAATCATT